CTCCTCTCCTCTCCTCTCCTCTCCTCTCCCATTCATTCATTCATTCATTCATTCATTCATTCGTTCATTCATTCATTCATTCATTCATTCATTCATTCATTCATCACTTTCACCATGACTCACTTCCCATCTCCAATCCCCTCCAATATAAACTCGCTATTCAGGCCACGCAGTCAGCATCCGTGAAGGTATAATAAATGTTTCCATAACCCTAAATAATGTCTTCCACTAACTTGAGTTGCACTTCAAGAAGTACTTTCATTAAATCAGGCACCTACTCTTGTCCGAGTCTAACTTTCTTCTTAAACTACTTCTTGGAGAAAAGTGGGGTCCAATTAAATGGCACTATGTCTAGAAATCTTAACTTCAAGCTTAGTAGATAAAATATATTACACACCTGGCACCCCCTCCCAAGCTTGCTGTTTTTTTAACCCTGTTCTGGAGAAGAGCAACTAACAATTGTTCTCTTCCACCTTAGCTCTGAGCCTGTATTACTGTCCCCCTCGGAGCCAACCTCCACCTGACTACGGGTTTCTACCTACAGGACTGCCATGCACCCGCTTTCCATAACCCTTTCCTTGAGGATTAAATATATCCCACAAACGAGGTCCCACTCAGCAGTGCTCCAAGCACATTATATCACGTCTATTCATGATGTATTTTTATTATATCATCTCCAAGGCTGATAAAGTGAAAGAAGTAATGCATCTTGATGGACTCATCAAGGTCTAGGTTTTGCCCTTGCTGATTCCCTGAAATAAATACAAAACTCCCTGCTTGGTGTCTTGTTTAGTAATATTTTCCATTCTAGCAGTTTCTCTTACATTTTCCTTCCCATAATTCCTTATTGTTTTATTTCTCTTTTCTTCCTTAGGAAAGAAAATATTGGAAAGGGAGTATATGAAGATGTATGTGCCCAGTCCCTCAGTAAATACCTACGGGAAGGTCTCTGGAGAATCACAAGACAATATGGGCCCCAGCGCAATGGAATAGGAATAAGTACATTTCTCATTGCGTTTATTTAAAAAAATGGACAAGTCCATATTCAAAATTCTTCCTTCTCCAGGATGACAAAAGACTGGTAAGGAAGAAAAATAACTGCAGAATAGAAGTGCTCACCTTCTCTGCAACATCCCTGCGTCTCTATCCTAAATTTTTTAGGCTAACCTGCAGCCCTCGGGTCCTTTTACATGACAATTAATGCCAAAACAAACAAGGCAGCAGAAGTCCACTTCCCTCTGCAGCGCGCCCAAAAAACCCGAACCCTTTCAAACAGACATTGGCCTAGCCACGGTGCTCGATCCCTTTAGGTCTGGCAAGTTTGGTTATTGCAAAATACAGCAGTAAATATGGCCAAGCTCCTCGAAAATACTCTAAGTAATAAAAATGAAGTACTCTCTCTACAGTATTTAAATAATTCAGCATGGAAACATTACCTTACGGCCGTTTCCCTTTCTAGAGCCCGGCTGCCCAGACTCAGTGGGAGTTGTTCCTACAACCCAAGAGTCCGTAGCTCATCTCTGTCTGCAAACTCACTTGTCACCACTCGCTTTGCAAAGGAGACAGCGCTTCCTTGTGAGCAGAGCCTAAATCCTGAGTCTCGCTGAAAAACTCAAAAATGAAATTTTAATTTTATGCAATTCTATCTACCCTACCAAGGTAACTACTCCGTTACTACGGTTAATCTGGGAGCTCTTTGCTGACAGTCAGAAGCTACGCTCGAGGTCATGCTCACCTGTTTACGTTCTTCTGAATTTAGCAGAAGGTAGCGTGGATCAAACACTATTTTGTGTAACTCCTTTTCCCATGTAGAAAATGCTGAGACCTGTGAAGTACACAAACACAGTTGCATTAAGGAATTTTAATAAGGATGTGAAAGAAGGAAATGTTCCAAGGTGAAGCAAAAGAGCAGTTCAGAAAGCTAATGAACCCTCCAAAGGATGCCTCAGAGCGGTTGGAAGCTGAATTTTAATCTGTGTCTGGCAATGCTCTGGTCGCCCCCACACCATTAGTATTGATTTGCTCTAGGACACCTCACTGAGTATCTAGGAGAATCTCCTGCCACAATTTTGATGGAAAGAATCTGTAGCGGAAAGGAAAATACCCATTTTATTATCCCCTTTGTACACAAGAAGCCTCAATTTCCATTTAAGCTCAATTATCTCAGCGTTATCTTCCCTCCTCTCCAAAACTTAAATTATAACCCAAATGAGGCCGTCAAGGCACACACACCCTACAGAGGTGCCTCTGTTTTCTCTGAAACCTCTTTAGGGTGAGTGGGCCCTAAGGACCACCGTGAACCCCAGCAGGTCCCTCACTTGCCCAGTCCCTGTCGCCTGGGGCTTTTACAGAACGACCCTGGGAACATCGGACTGAAATCCCCAGCCTGATTCCGGCACCTTGTACAGCATCCCTGTTAATTACCTTGTTAAAGACAACTCCGGAGCAACATAAAATATTCTAATCACTCCATCTAATTACAAAGAAGAGTAAATTCACTTAAAAAATTAAGTATGTGAAGTATAATTAAAATAGAGTAATTAACACTCAAGCAGGAAAGCTCTGCAGAAGCAAAGTGGCCTTCAATAGACTGGGTTTCCTCTTAAGAGTGGTTCAAAACTGGAAATTTCAGAGTTGAGGGCAGCTTTCCAGATGTGCAGCGACTCAGGGCTGCCTCCTCCAAACGCCGTCCTCCCGCAGCCTGCGGTTCTCCCTCCGCACCCACGCTGGCGGCCAAGGCCTGAGGTTTGGGCTTTTCCACCCTCAGAAGGATCAGCAGCGGGAATCTTTTTATTCCGGGTGTCTTTTATATCCTCTCTTGGACATCAGCTTTGTTCCCAGTACAAAGGCTGGTTTGAATTTAAAGCTAGTTAAGCTCGGGTTAATTTTTTGTGTAATGTTTCCTGTTTATGATTTTTTAATTTAGTAATTACCACCTTTCACATACTGCAGACATAGACCTAAAATAAATGTTGGCTACTGATATTTAACAATTAATTCTAGCTACACATCATACCCTCTTCAAGATACTCATTTTTATGTGCAAATGCTCATAAAATATAAAAATTCTGACTAATCTCCCAATATGTATTGTGGTCGTCTTCCCTCCTATGGGACATCCAACCAAGGAACACTTGCAGTGGGAATGGTGGGGGTGACATCACTTCTTAGAATAAATAAAGATTTCTGTGACCTGGTATCTCCACAGACGAAAAGGAGAAGGGATCTGAGCTTGTGGGTTTCCAGATCTCAGCTCCTGCTTTTAACCAGAGTGCGACGTACAGGGAAAAAACTCACAAAAATTCAACATACCGAGCTTGAGCAGTATGTTTAGAAGTGAAGGGACACCGATCTGAATAGCTGATGTTATTTTTAACTCACTCTAGAAGCCCAGCATCGACAGTTGGTTGAGATTTTGGCTTTGACTAAAAGATTCATAAGAACAGAAAGGCAAAGTGCCCGTTATTTTCCGTGGATGCGTTTGTCTTCATCCGCAGAGGATTCCCAGCTTTCAGGAGATGTTGTTCTGGTAGACGAGCTACTGAAACACACCAAAACTGGCAAGAAGGGTGGAGCAGTGAAGGGCTTAGAGGAGGCACCCGGGTTGGCAGCAGCAAGGGCCACCCCGCACCCCAGCCAGGAGCCCCCTTCCCTGTGTCCTCAACTGACCAATGACCCCCAGTGAAAACTGGGGCTCAGTGGCTTGTCCTTAAAGAAAGGGGCTCTTCGGGTCTGTCCGAAACAAAGGCTGGGGGAAAAAATACAGCAAAAAGCCCTGTTTATTTGTTTGGGGTTTTTTTTTATTTATTCTTTAGGATAATGCAGAGGCTGTAAGAACTGTTTTGAGATGGAAAGGTGAGGGTTAGGAGCCCTCAACCCCCCCTTTTTTCCCCCAGTATTAAGAAGGTAAAATCTTGAGAAAAAAATACCCTTTGGAATCCTTTAAAAAAAGGCTTGTTTCACTGATGGCATCCCATCAAGGAGAAGACCTTCCTAGAAATACAGACTGTAGAACGTGGCTATGTTGATGCCATGGCTGAGAGGGAGCCAGGAAGAGGCTTGGACTTTCCCCTTCCCCTCAGGATCTCGTGGAAGCTTTTAAACTTCCAGGAGGATATCAGAGATTACATTCTTACATGGGAAAATGTGCCACAGACTTAAGAATAGTGCCACTGCCTCGGAGCTACGCAAAAAAAATCAAATATATTTTTTAAATGTTACAATAGACATACTTCTGGATATAATTTATGTAGGAAGACTCAGAACTGCGCTGAAGAACTCCATCGAGCTGTAGCGTTTTGTAATGCCATCAAGTAACTTCTTGAGGAATAACAACGTGATGAGAAACTGGCAGGAGACAGTCCTTAAATAATCAGATTAAATCACACTAATGGCCTCGCTGCATTCCAAGCAATGCCAGCCTGCAGGTGCTAACCACCGGCTTGTCTGGACATTTAAAAACCGCTCGGGGTGAAAGCAAAGTAGCCCACTGTCTATATATGTTTAAATAATAGCAAAACCAAACTGTAAACCCTGAATTCCTTATGAGCAAGTCCGACTCTTGCACTGGAAACGCTTGAGGAATCCTATTAGAGAACAGCCCTAATACTTTCAAACGTTGACTTACTGCCCCCCGACTTAAAATCTGCCAGCAGAAGTCTCCAACCAGCATTCACTGATGGCACTTCTGCATTTCTTAAGCATAAATAACTAAATGTATTAATAAAGCAGGTCTGGCATGGAGATAATTTACTGCTGAGCTTCTGAAGCTCTAATTATCCACCTTTAAAGTCTGCTGATTACTAGTGATAAATTTTATAGGCTTTACTGCCTAACAATAGACACCTTATTTATTTTTCTTTGCAGAACTTGCACGAACTTCTATAGAATACATATTTGTGGAGTGTTGGAAGGAGGTATAAAATCTGCATAACACTGCTTCATTATTCACCCATTTACATGTGTGGAATTAGGACCCAAAGCTGGGATGCTTATTAATTCCATTCACACCCAAAATCATCAGTTCTCTGGAAGAAGGGACCCTGTGAGCTGAACTTTTCTGGAGGTGATTTTATGTTTATAAACAACAGAGTCCAAAACTCCTCACTGTGACGGTCACCTTCATGCGGCCAGTTCAACAGAGGTGTCTAAGCGCTACCACAGAAAACAAAAATCAGGTGGAAGCTCTTTACAAAATCCGTCACTGGATGCTATTACACCATCTGTAATTCATGTTTCACCGTTAGTCGTGAGGCTCATAGTGCTGTCAGCGTCTGTCTGCAAATTAAATTAATGGTCCATCCATCCCCTCATAATCTTGGTTAGGTCACAGCCAAGTGGCCGCAGTGACTCGGAGCCCTCCCGTAACCTTTACGCCAGGTCTGCGCTGGCCCTGGCCGGGAGGCAACGGTGCTCCAGGTGCTCTCGCCTTGGCTGGCTGCTTGGCCCTGACTAGCCCAAAGCCCCGAGCTCCTGCACCTCAGCCAGAACCACCACATCTCCCCAGGGACGTCAAAGAGTGGTCAGGGAGGTCCAGGGAAAAGGGCAGGGGTTTTTTAACCCTCCTGAGACTCCAGTATATCCTTTTCTAACAGACTGGGCAGACTTCAGCCGGCCAGGGACTGAATTTGTCTTCCCACTGCTGGGATCATTGGAGTCTGTGGCGATAAGACCTCTCCCATGACAGGAAAAAAAAAAAAAAAAAGCAAAAAAGCAAAGAGCTTGTCAGGAATATTTCTGAGCCTGGTGTTGTCAGGTGATACACACAACATGTCTTTTGTCCTTTGTTCATCATGTGCTGCAGACATCTAGGGGTCCGTGTGGGACCCCCGGGATGGCGTGTGGCAATGGTCCCCATGCCCAGCTGAGCCACTGGCCTGCGCCGGAGGAGCTACCACCCCCGGGGTAGCTTTGGGTCTGTCTACAGTCATTTGTTTGGAACCGCAGCTGCAAAGTGCTGAGGTTCTGCGCAGCCCGAAGAAAAGTCTCAGGGAAGTACCACAAAGCCACACGGTTAACAGACAGAAAACCCCCTCTCCATAATTCTCCCTTCGAGTCATCGCTGTGGAACGATTCCTGGGGTGGTCCTAGATGAGGCCCCGCTTTCACAAACGAGCTCCGTCAGAGGGAGCGCGCGCGTTCCTTACCCCTCTCTCCAGAAGCATGTCTCGGAAATGAGTGATGCGCTCCTCTAGGGAGGGCGTGATCTGAGGTGCTGATGGTTCCTCATTTCTCTCCTCCGTTTCAGCCTTCCCCTGCTCATCACCTTGGGAATCTTCTGTTCTTTAACAAGATAGAAAATAGTTCAGTAACCGCCAACTTGGGAGGGGATTTTTAACCCTCTCCAGAAAGCCCCCCAGGCCGGCAGGACCTCCTGGCGCACGCGGAGCAGCCAGGGCGCAGACGCCGACAGCTCAGAAGTTGACCCAAACCTGCAGCTGGTTATTGGAGCGTGGGGGCCCCGCCAAGGGACCTCCGACAGCTCGTTCTGGGGAAGGATGGGCTACCGGCGTGATCAAAGAGCAACTCAGCAGCAAAACACCACGCTATATTTCAAGCTACAGAAAAGTGACAGCTTTATATAAAATTTGTCAAGGAGTGGAGACTTTAAAGGAGTGACTGAAGAGACTCATCTTGGTTTATTTGTCTTTCCTCTGGTTTTGTGCCCCCAAACTTGAAAGTCAACACTAATCTTCATTTTATGTTCCCATGCACCCCATGAGCTCAGTCCTGAGGGAAGCAATCCGGCAACGCATCGCATGCACAAACCTGCCAATAGAGCACCAGCGAGGAACCTGCCCTTTGTCAGTGCCAGAAGGTCTATATTTACCCTGGCAGCCTTCCTCCAAGATTGCATCTGATTAGAATAAATAGGTGTTTCTGAGAAAATACTTATATAGATATTGCCCGAGTGCCTTTGCCTACAGGACCCCCTGGTTAACGGCACGGACGCAGCACTGCTGTGCTCATTTCAGGAAAGGGCAGTTTACTGCAAGTTTTAACCATAAAGCAGCAGCAGCACAAGAGGGGTGTTCTCCTCAGGTGCAATCCTACATCATCAGTGGCATCACTGGAGCTGAACTGCTTCACACCAGATAAACATCTGCGTAATTTTATCAGAGACCATTAACATCAGCGCTGGAAGCGAACACCCGTTGCCCCACTGTTCAGAGGGATGAAGATCTGCCCCCGTGGGCCCTCAGCATCTGCAGGGAGAGGTTCACTAGATGGGAACCAGAAAGGTAGGAGGGAGTCTGTTCCAGGAGGGTGATGGGATTTGAGATGGGGTGTAAAACCCCTGACTTCAGAGAATGCCAGAGAGGTTTGGTTTGGGAGGGACCTTAAAGATCATCCAGTTCCCACTCTGCGGCCGTGGGCAGGAACTCCACGAGACACCTTCCACTTCAGAGAAGTTGGCTCACTCAGCTCTCAAAATCAGGCTTGTGCTCTGGGTCCATCCTGCTGTTTCTTAACGATTTGAGTAATTGGAGAGTTCAGTACAAATTAAGGCTCTTACTGGAAAGATCAGGAGTCTTACAACAATCACAAGGTTCAAGTGAGGATAATGAAAGTAAGGCAATTTCTTAGCCTCCTACTAGGCATGACTGCATTTTCTACTGATGCCATTTTACCACTACAGAATAATAGTTTGAAATTTCAATAGGAAAACACTTTTTTTTTTTTATTTCCGAGCAAATGAATTAGATCAGTATGTAATGTGAGCTCTAGCGTATTATCTTCCTTCTGCAAATAATTACATTACACTTACATTTATCCTAAAATGGTGCTGCAGTACTAGTGATTTGAGAGATATCAAGGTGTTCTTCGCGGAGTGACAGTGACTTTTAGATCACAATAGCAAATTTTACTCTGTGACATGATCCATGAACAGCCCGATCCAATTTCTGGTGCACACAAAGAGCTTTTCCAAGCCAAAACTGAGAGAAACACAGTACACGACTCCCTCGGCCAAGCACCAGAAGAGCCCCTCTTTCCTTCAGTCCTCCTTACACAACTGAAAATGATGCTACAGGGACTTTTTCCTCATGCCAAAAGATGACAATAAAGAATAAAATTTTCTTTAGCAAATAACAATAATCTGCACAACAAACAACGTGACTTCCTACTCAGATGGACGCGTAGGGGCAGCCTCCTAACACAGTGCTGGAATCCTGCAAATGTCAAAGTGGATTGGGTGGCAAGACGTTTTGTATAACTGTGGTACCCACTGAAAGGAGAAGAGGCAATGGGCACAGACTGAAATACTGAAAAACTGAAAGGGAAATCCATCTAAGCATAAGAAAAAGGTTTTTTACTGTGAGGCTGGTCAGAGCCTGGGGCAGGCTGCCCGGGGAGGCTGTGGGGCTCCATCCTGGGAGATGCTCAACCCCCCTGGACAGGTCTCTGAGTGACCCACTGGGAGCAGGTGGGACTGAGGCCTCTGTAAAGAAAATCCAGAAAACCTACATTTCTCTGAAGACTGCTCTTCTTTTGTAGAGAGTACAAGCAGAACATTGCCCGAGTAAGGATTTGGTGTCAGTATTTTTAAGCACTTTCATGACACCCCAAGGAAATGTAAATAGAAGTGCAAGAGCAGGTTGTGGAGCCCCGGTGCAGGTTCTGGCTGGAAGCACTGGGCAGAGGTTGTGCAAACATCCACAGGAGACAGAGAGGAGTGCTGCTGCCTTCTGCTGCCAGCCCCGGGCCAGGTCCTCTGCCAGCTCTGCCACCAAAGCAAACAGTGGGAGAAGCCAACAGCAGATCTGTTCTTACCTGAAACCCTGGAAGCACGGGACGCCTCCTCTTTGAGTTATGCTTAACCAAGAAAAAGTGTTGACATTGCAAAAAAGAAGTGAATAATGGCCATGCGGGGGTAAAAATGGGGTTCAATTTCCCGTTCTGCTGCAGATGCCAAGCGCAGGGCTGGGAACGTCCAGCTACAACCTGCCTGCGGCTCGCTGAGTGCACTGAGCCCTGCCCGGGGCAGGAACCCCCCGAGTCAGGGGCAGCACCGCCTGCGGGTGGGGGTGGGAAACCTACTGCCTGCACAGGCAATTATTAACGTGGATACGACAGCAATAGAAACAGCTTTTCTGTCTGCCTGTCCTGGTTTTGATGGGGATAAAGCTAATTGGGTTTTTTTTTTCCCCTTTCTTAGTAGCTAGACTGGTGCTGCGTTTTGGATTTAGTGGGGGGTTTGATATGAGAAGGACGTTGAGGAGACACTGATGTTTTCAGTTGTTGCTAAGAAATCCAGGGCTTCTCAACTCCCCTGTCCTGCCCGTGCGCAGGTACACAAGATGCTGGGGGGGAGCACGGGCAAAACAACGGGCCCAGACTGGCCCCTGGGATATTCCAGATCATACAACGTCACACGCAGCGGGCAGAGGAGGGTTGGTCGGGAAGCTCACTCGGGGTTTTGGGATGGGGGTTTCAGGATTCTCTCTCCTCTGGGATCACCAGGGCCGGGCATTGGTCAGTGGATGATGAGCCATCACATTGTGCATTACTCATCTGCATTCCCTATTATTACCATTATCATTATCATTTTACTTTATTTCAATTATTAAATTGTTTTTAGCTCAACCTACGTGTCTCCGTACCCTTACCCCTCCACCCTGGGGTGAGGGAGGGTGAGGCAGTGGCTCTGTGGTGTTTGGCTGTCGGCTGGGATTAAACCATGACACCGTCCAGCACCAAAATTAAAATTTGTTTGGTTTTCTGTAAAGACAAATCTTTTTTTCACTTCTGGATTCAGTCTGGAGCGAGCAGCACTTTGTCCATTCCAAAATAAAACAAATCAGAGGGAACAAAGTCAGATTTGGACCTTGTACGTGCAATCTGGAAGACAAAAAGCTGGTGATGTGCATCCTCCTACCCAAAGCACATGAGTAGACTCTACACCCTGAGAATTCCCCTTTTGCTGTTCATGGCACGCAGTAACTCGGCTGCTTTTCTGACAAGGAACTACAGGCCACAGGTTTTAAATCCATCCTGCTTTTGGCTGCCTAGTTCAGACACACACAGATGTAGGCAGCTGAGACCCACAGCACTTAGAAACAACAATATCGGTCCCAGACACTGCTGGCAGCAGCGACTCCAACTGCCGGGCAACCAACCTCCGCAGGGCTCAGCTGCGGAGCTGGGAGGTTGCCCCTGCCGTGGATCCCCAGCTGGGACACAGCACGCAGTCCCCAGGGGGATGGCTCAGCCCCGGTAACGGCAATCTTAGTATAGCAGAGGAGTTCATACGTGATTTTTATCCCGAGGATAACTAAATCCTCGTTTGAAATGAAAATCCTACAATATTTTACTTTTTTATGTCATGAACTGTTAGCTATGGTCTAACATTAATACATTTAAACAAGCACCCAGACTGCGTTTCTCTGGTGAAAGGTCAGTATTTTAAAGGTCCATCCATGAACCTCTGTGTTCTGCCATTGTTTCAGGGTACAAAGCAAAATGTCAGGAAATCTTTGCGTGTTATAAAAGAGAATTTAGAATTCAAAACAGCCGTACAAATCATGTAGCAGTTTGGGGAGGTGCGTTCTGCTGACAGACAAATGAACACTTTATGGCTTTTTTGGTCACAGGTCGAATTTCTGGGGAATTGAGATCACCACAACGCAGTCTCAGAAAATGCTGTGTTGTCAAGCCGGATCTCACTGGTTTCTTATGTAAATGTTGCTCTTGAGTTCCATAGGCCTAATTGCCTCTGAGAATTGGTTCCTCCTCATCTAAACGTTTATTTTAGAAGTTAAACAAAGGTAGAACTTAAGAGGGGGTTCTCAGAGCTCTGGCTATCCTCTCAATGCATATCTCGCCGCAAATCTCAAGTATGATAAAAGCTCTATCATTTGTCAGCCCATACGAATATACATCACAGCATAAAGACACGCGACGAGATAAACAGCAGGTGACACGCATCCGTTATCACCTGCTATTTGACTTTTGTGGCGTAGCATCGCGGCAGAGAGGAGCCTGTGTTGCCTCCAACTGCGAGGACCTTTTCCAGCCCAGCGAGGCTCTTTTCTGCCGAGACACCCTGGCAGCTCCGGGGGAACACGCTGCCCACGCTGCAGCAGAGGCTGCTGGCAGCCGGGGGGACTCGCCACCCGCCGCAGGATGGCAGACGGGACTGGAGCTGGATGGCTGCGTGAGTTATGCTCGTATGTGTAGGTAGATGTAGCTATGTATGTGGAAATATATACCACAAGATGCTGTCAGGCAGCAGCTCTGTAACGGGCTGAGATAGCCCAGCCTGAACTGTATTTACCCATGTGCTTCGGGGAGAAAAATAATTTACATGAAAACGCATTTCTGCAGGTAAATAAAAATAATAAAAGATAAATTCTGCAAATATATAAAGGGGTGGTCCATATTTGGGTCCTAATAATTTTGACAGTGGCCTTTTCAGTGTAAAGGGAATAACCCCAAGAGAGTCTTTCAGGAGCAAGTCATGGAACGCCTGTGAAGAGGGGACAACGCTCCTTATTCTCCGCAGCCGGTGGAGGCGGCACCGCCTGGCCTGCGACAGACCGCCCAGGCAGCCCAAACTCCCTTTGACACAGCAATCCTTGAGTAAGTGCTTTTTTCTGGGGGCTATGAACAAGCTTCTGGGGTTTTAGAATTCCATTTATGCACATTAATGGAAAGACATTTTCACATTTTCTCAACAAATCACTAAAGGGAATCACCTTAATAGCACGTGGAAAAAAATCCACTTCTATGCACAGGTCATAATAGCAGCCCATTATCGTCAGACCCACAGATGTCAGTAGAAGAATTCTTAAATATTTTATACTAAATATAAGCTTTCATACTGTCTATGAATACTAATTATTATGTAAACAGTCAAAGTACATATTTAGTAAATATAAAGTCTAAATATACTCTTTTATACCAAACATTAAATGCTTAAATAGTCTGAGCATTCAGCTCGGGAGTATCTGACTCTTTCTTCATAATAACACAAACCCGCAGGAAGTCTTAACAAGGTCAAAAGAACCACCCAGTGCAGTAGGGTAAGAATGGCAGGATAAGAGAGAACAGACTTATCTTCAATATATTCACTTGGAAAATACAGAAATTTGTTGTGCTTACCCGTCACAATGCCCTCAAAAATATAACACACTGCCTATGCAGACTTACTTTACGGATTTATTTTTTCAGTGGCCCAAACCAGTATCTTAATCACAGCCAGCCCGCCTGAACAGCTATACGCAGTTACTGGCCAAAGGTTAAAGAGAATTAAATGTCTCTACGGTACTCCTTAAAACAAAATTTCATTTTCATGCTGTCTTGGTAAAGGGTGAGGGAGTTGCTTATTTGGCACATGGGTTTTTCCACCTGTTACTTCATGAGAATTTGAAACACGCATGGAAATAGACGTCAAATAAAAGCACAAAACCAGAAATACCTCTGGATATTTCTAAGCCAGCAGCCTGGAAACTCTGATACCGAGGGGGGGAAACCCCCCCCCCAAAAAAAAAAACCAAACAAACAAAAAACAACAAAACACCAAACCTGCTTCATTTCAATGAAGACAAAGCTTTTAGCCAAGTCTGAAATAACTACATAACCTTAGAGTCTTATTTTAACCATTTCAAAGTAAGGGTTACTCAGACAAAAATAGATGATGTTCATGGGAAACGGAAGATTACAGAGATTCATGGAGTTTGATGAAGACTGGATACCTTAAGGATGACTCTCATAACTTATTGGTCTAGTTATCCACACAGGAGAAAAGGATTTTATCTCTCTGCATTTATTTGTACCAGACGTTAGCTTCCCAACATTACATATAGATAAGTAAACTTTAGAACTTACTTATTTCTCTTAGTTTTGATGCTAAGATCATCATTTTCATCCCCTGGACAAGAACTAACACATTTATCTGCTAAAAAGAAATAAATAGTTATTAGATTTCAACTAGATAAATGGGAATACAAATTCCTCAGATTAACCTTTCATTTCTTGGCTTTAGCCGCTGCTCAGGTATTTACTATCTTTCACTCTCCACAGTGTTTTAAAAATAACACACATTTCATCAGATCCTCAGAAACACCTTCATCCAAACGAAAGAGAAAGCAACGAAATCAACCATTTTCACTCTGACAAATCACTCATCCATGTTGTGAACAAAACTGTTCATTTGTGACATGACTTCATTTAAATCTTGCTGTTGTCTCACCTGATAGACCCTCCTCCCTTCCCTTAAAAATACAACTCCAAAGACATTTCTGCAAAACTGTTTCAGCCCTGGCAGTTTGAAGGGTTCAGTTGTGCTAACTCGTGCCAGAACTTCCCTCTTTAGCCCATTTCTCTTTCTTATGTAAGCAAATATATTGCTGCTTTTCCAGAAATTCAACCACCAGTACAGCAAGGCTGCGGAGGTACCGACACCCTCCGCTCTCCTGATGCTGCAGAGTAGCTCCGAGGCACTGTTACACTCCTGTCTGGGCTGGACACGCGTCCTTGAAGGACTCTGAGGTTGCGTTGTCAGTCATAAGAAACGTGAAGCATCTTGGAGCAGATACTTATTTCTGGAATCTAAATTTCTTTTTCATGCATACAAACTGCAGTTTCCATCGACATTCAAACGGACGGACCACCAGAAGTCTTGTCCATCCAGTGCTTGGTTTGTGCTGGGGACTCTGTGGTAGTTCGCCACAAATTAGTTGAGAAACATAAAAATCAAACTGCATGGGGTTAGCTTGGGAATATCAGAAACACCAAACCTCAGCCCCTTTGTGTGAGTCTGATAACGAAGACATGTCTTGTTATTCAGGAAACCATGGAAAAATAAATTAAAAATAGAATTGAACAGGTTATGAAGAGAAAAGGTTTGAATAATTTGATATGTAATATATAACGGAAATCAGATGAAACTCCAAGACATCTGCTAGGAAACGGGTCCAATCTTTGGATCTCTGAAGCTAACAGAAATTTGGCCACTTGTCTCAAGTTTCAATTTAAGAATCTCACTCTTAGCTCGTTTTTATTTCCCTATTTTAGGGAAATTACATGTTTATTAGTTCAGCAAATGTTGCCTTTTGTTTATACTAAGTGTTTGAACAAAGCAGATACTAAATCACCACAAAAAAAGAACAATCAATAAACCAAACAAACAGCGGCTGTAATGTTGTGGCGTGGGAAGACCAGGAACAGAGACCACATGAGGACGAAATACACAGCAGGGGCAAATGGACTCTACTGACCGGAACGTAAAATGGTAGTAAGGAGAAATAAACGGCATTCCAAAACAAGGAGAGCTTGCTTTCAACATTCCTGAGAATATACAAGCGTTATGAATACACAGATGAATTTAATAATGTTTTAAATAAACGTAAATTCACTGGAGCTATTACCTCGTGGTAAATTCTTCTTTGGGACGCCCAATTAAAAATACAAAGAGGTAGGAAGAGCAATGTGCAAACTCAGAAGGTGGAATGTAATTCAACAGAGACGTTCTAAAGCTATTAATCAGGAGTCGAGCAGCCTGCGGAGGCAGCGATGGTCTTAACTTTAATGAATTCTGAAGGTAATAAAAAAAAAAATGACAGAGTATTTGATGGTGTTTTCTAAGAGAGCTGAAGTTAAAGGCGACTGGGCAAGCACAATCCTGTTCCTGCCAAATTTCACCACTGTTAAGGAAAAGCCAAGGGGGCACCTCCCGCGTCTGCAGACGGGATGCACTGGGAGTAAAATGAGGGAGTGGTGCCAGGCCTGGCCCACGCCACGAGCCTTTCCCAGTCAACATTTTTGTCAGAAAAGAGCAAACTCGCTGGTGATGACAAACGACTACGTGAAGTTCTCCAGCTACTTGAAGGTGAACTCAAATTTGAGTCATTTTATGACAAGACCTTTCATACATTTCTGAAAAGGTTATATAATTTTTAAATTTTGCTGGGAAAAAAAAATAAATACACGAACTAGGCATTTATAAAACCAAATCTTAGCCACCATATAGCCTTCAGCTAAAAGAAATGTGATAGAACACACCCTGCTTTCAGAGTTGACTTCCATCTGCTGGTTCCTGCCACACCTCGGGGTCTCCCAGAGCAGGGACACCCTCCCCGAGGGAGGGACACCCCGTCCTGCTCCTGTGGGCGTGCTGTCTTGGGTAAATGGGGCAAGATTAGAGTCAGCATCAGCACTTGAAATTTCAGTGCAGTGGAAAACTCGGTAAAACATGACAAATGGTATCTCCAGTCTCACTCAGGATCCTGCTGAATCACAACGCACCGCTGGACCTCTGATAAGATTATAAACTGACTTTGAAAGGGAAGAGAGGCAGCCGAGCACAAAATCTAATAATTGATTTAAAGCTTTGAGGAAGAACATTACCTGACAGTAATCTTTCCATGAAATCATAAAGTGGAGCACTGCCCCAGTCTGATGGTCTATCAAGCCTAGTGCCAATTAATTAAATCATTCAGCTAATCCCAGTCATGTCATGAATTCCGGTTCATTATCCAGAACAAAGAGGAAACTCCAGCATTCACCAGGTGAGTTAAAGCACCTCCGATTCATCGGCCACACGCAAAAATCTGATTTGCAATTCGATAAAGAGACATGGCACCCACATATCGCACGTGAGCCCCGGAGCTCACCCGTGTCGTTTCTAGGGACCGTGCTTCCTACTTTTGTCTGAACCCTAAAGGGTCCAATATATTTGTGGGGACAGAGTAAACTACACCAGAACTGATTCTGAATAGGGACTGTACCAAGTGTGAATCGACACGTCGTTTTCTCTAGTCAGGATGTCAGATTTCTTTTCATTAGCTGAAAAAATAATTTCCTCAGCCTAAATGTCCAGAGAAACCATCTGAGCAGGTGGAGGAATAGGAACAGATAAAAATGGGTTTTGCCATTGCAATAGGACAGAATCATGACAAGAAATCTTTGAGGGGAAATAGGGATGTTATGGGTCAGTCTGTGAGCGCACTGAGACAGAGGAGCAGTGACAACTGGGGATGGGACAAGGGAGCTGTCAGGGGGAGGTGCTGCACGCCGCTGTCAGACCGCTCCGACTTGGGAACGTGGGAGATCAAGGGATGAAAGTCCTGGAAACACCGTCCCCATCCTGGCTCCGTGTCTGGGCGACGGCGGGTCCCTCCGTCCAGGTCCCCGTCCCCATCCCCGCGCTGGGAGGTGTGTGCCCCATCCCCGGGACGACCTGATGGGAACCATCAGTGAAGAGCCACGACACCTTCATAAATCTCCCCGAGGACTAATACTGTGTGGAGGCAGCGTAATTGATAAATGAGTAATTTTTCATTTATGCCTAAATTATAAACACGCTTGATCTTTCAGCAGAGCGATGCACAGATAACCTATAGCACCCCATGAATAACTACGCTTGCCAACTTCTCTTGTGCTTTTGATTTAAAAATCCTAATTAAAACTCAGCAGCAGCAACTAAGCTAAATAAATTTGGCAACCATTGTTGCAAACACACAGCTCGTTTGTGTTATTTATTTACTCGAGATTACAAGCTAAGAGAAATAGTAACAAATAATTCCCTTCACCTCAGCAGCTAATATATACTAATTATAACATGACTGTATCAGATACTGAGCAACCGCAAGTCCCAAATATATCAAGGAAAATTAAGACTATTAGCAACAATGAAAGCCATGGTCATAAAGAAACTGGTGCGTGAATCAGATCTTGGTGGTACATATAGATAATAAATAAAAAGGATGGAACACGCAGAAAAAAAAAAAATATAGATTTTTGAAGTGGCACATATGACTTTAGACTCTTCTTGTTAATTAATTATAGACCATGAATAATGACCCTCAGTTTTGTCTTTGGCCATCATTCATCCCCACTTGTCAGTAATTAACTGATCTTTCAATATATCCCGTAACAGAAAACGTGTGCTGTATTATTCTCCTGAAGAATGAACTTCAGCGCATACGCTTTGGAATTATTAGATACTCAGCTGAAGTTATTCAAGCCCTGTACAAAAATGACATACATACAAGCATCTGGCGATCGAAATTTATATTGAAAAAATGTAATGACATTCCATGTTGATAAGGACTACACTAATAGAAAAACCATTCTTTGTAGCTTTTTTTTTTTTTCCCAGCCAACTTCTGCTAATACCGATAACATAAATCCTGATTATCTCTCCCTTTTATCTACCTGCAGACAGAGTGTTCCGAGCCCACAAAGGCACCCTCAGAGCCCCTGTTCTGCAGCAGCTAATTGGGAGCCGTGCCCGTGGATCAAAGCACACATTAGAGTCCCCGATGGCCCGAGCACAGAAGACAGACACTGCACCAGACTGGCAGCGCTACCTTACTTCTAGTTAGAAAATACTACAGACTCTAAACGAATGACAAAAGTCTCATTTTCTCCCCCACTCTCCATTTTTCTAGACCTCACCATTAAAGAGCAAGGCCAGCTGAAGGAGGGTCTCCACTGAAGCTGCTGGGCAGCAGAATATTCAAGAATTACAGGCAGCTAATCAAGAGAAGGAGCATCCCAGATGACTGCCACGCACGTAGCTGCTCCCCTCAGGAACGGCAGGTCTCCCCGACCCCGCTCCCACGCCCCCATCAGGAAAGAGAAGGAGCGCTGACACGGAGCAGCTCCCAGAAACACAAACCCTAGTGGAGGCCACAAAAAATGGTGAAGCATCATCTTTAGTGAGAAACGGGGCGGAACAAACTATGGAGCCACCAGCAAGCACAGGCTGGCACGCCGGGCTGCTCCACGCCTGGTCACCAGGACACAATCTGGACCCAACAACTACGGTGTGGAGAGCAGAAAAAAACGTGGCATGGTGAGGAGTGTGGGATGGGAAAGCCAGGCTGGGAATACTGCCTCTGCAGACTGGCCGTCCCGGGCAGGACCAGAGAGCAAACACCGTGGATCACTGACAAGCCAAGGGGTGTCTCTCAACCTGTACTTTGAGCCACTTAAGGTGATACGGCAGATCCACGTGTTTTTCCTTAGCCACGACTCTCCCCTTCAGGAATCCAGAGTGTTTAGAAGAAGGGGTCTGGCAGAGTCACAGACTCACAGAATCCTTCAGGTTGGAAAAGCCCCTCGGGATCAGCGAGTCCAACCCTCAGCCCGACTCTACATAGTTCTCCCCTACCCCACATCCCCCACAGCTCATCCCAACGGCCCTGAAACCCCCCCAGGGATGGGGACTCCCCCCTCCCTGGGCAGCCTGTTCCACTCTCGGACCACTCTGTCTGTGAAAACTGTTTTCCTAATGTCCAGTCTGAACCTCCCCTGTTGCAGTTTAAAGCCGTTCCCTCTTGTTCTATCGCTAATTGTCACGTTTCGGTGGAAGCACCCACGCATCCACCAAACCATGGAGCACTCTGAGATTTCCTACTGGGATTTTTTTCTCCCCTCTACAACTTGGTTGGATAATCCTTAGCTACATCGGTTCTGCTTTTGTGGAACAGCTGAATAACGGACTACTAATGCATTCCCAACGTACATCTTGGAAATAAGTGTAATAACACATGAAGACAGCGTCTTCCAAAATGTATTTTATACATCAAAGATTCATCCAGTGTAAGAAGCCACCTGTTCCTTCATTGCCAATAATGAGAACGCTCTATCCCCCAGCTCAGCATTTCAGTGAAAATAAGGATTCTGCAATAAACATCAATTTTAACGCAATACTTTATATGAAATCTCAAAAGGAAAACCACTCTAATTATGGTTATCAAACTTTCACTGAATATATTTAGCAACCAGGTTTCATTTGATATTTGAGTTTAAATAGAGGCAAATAATCACAGGGCTTTAGTTACTTGCTGCGGCTTCCAGCTTGCGCTTGTGAGGAGGATCCTCGATGATCCGGTTTATGTCGCCGCGGTGCTTCAGGTCCACCGGCTTCTCCCAGACTGACAGCTGCATTGTAGGGTTGAAGAAGAAGACCCGGTCATCTCCAGTCCAGACTACACACCTATTCCAAGTGATAAACTAGGCTTAGACAATGTCAGATACACCCACGGACAAGAAATTACCCCGCAGCTGGCTCCTTGCACCTCTTTGCAGCGCGTGGGAGAGGCTCCTCTCGGACTGAGGGCCAGCCCCAGGCCCTGCCAGCCCACGCCACTCACCTCGGGTGGAAAAACTCTCTCCATACCAGTGAAACACCATAGAAACGCCCTAAACACCCCCAAAAAAAGCAGTAGGTGAAATATTCTATAACAGAAGGGAAAAACGACGGGACGAAGAGGAACGCTGTGGCGCTCACAGCAAGAGAAGCCACAGGAAAATACATTTCACGTGTTCAAGCCGTGGCTGAGCGCAGCAAGTGGCAGAAGCCTTGGCAGCAGGGCTGGGTGGCCACGGGGAGCCTTACGCAGATGCGCTGCTGTGAGGAGGTGTAACCACAGCATCCCTGCAGCATCCTCGTGACAACCGCCCCAGCTCCCAACACACTGTGCTGGACAGGTACAACCCCCCACCGCAGAGGTCTGCCACAGAGGTTTCCGCTGATCTTTACGGGCTCCGGTTGGAATTTGAAAAACGCTGCTGTGCAAATCCCAGTTTCTTGACTTGGTCAGTTAAAATATGCACGACAGCAGTTCAACTTTTTGTCCTGACATTCATTTTAAATCGGCTAAAATAATGTGAAAGTATCGCACCACCCTTAACAGACATTCAAAACCCTCAAGCTTTATGTCACTAAATCTTTGTGTAATAAACAGAGTATCAGCCTCAAGCCCACATCACGATGAGAAGTAACAGGCGTCATATACACACTCCGACTTCCTCACACACACACATCTCATGGGAAAACGTTGGTCTCTCTGAAGCATAAACACCTGCAAGGAACAAATTTTACCACTGGAAGTTCTGCTGCTTAACTGTTATTAAAAGCATGGAACAAAACTGGTTTAACAAAAGTCTGGTCTGGGGAAAGTCTGCTAATATAAAAAATGCTCTACCACTGCAGAGTACTGTAATAAGATAATCCAACATACTTTGTGTACCACTGGTAAGACATCACCATTGATCTTGCCCAAACACGTAATGAAAACCACAAAACCTGTGTAGGAATCCCTGGGGGGAGCTGCCGGGCGTCAGCGTGTCACCGAGCCCAACACCACAGCAACCCTGTCCAGTGGGGTTCAGTGTCCTCCCCAGGAACAGGAGCACAAAGCCGGTTGTACAAACCCAGCCAACGGCTTCAGTCACACTTACACCCCACAGAAGTTTTGGCACCCTGAATCCAGGGACACGGACAGGAGAATTATTTTAATAACTTTCTCCTTATTTAATACACAAATTGTTTGGATCGCAGAAGAGCCTCACAGGACAGATGCTCTAATCCTCTGTTATGCAATGATTAGGTTTAATTACTACTTCTTACTTTGTACCTTGGAGCTGTGGGAACCTCTGTTCTCCCCAAAACACCGGCCCACCAGCCCCGAGCCCCGTCTGCAGGGCTCAGCGAGAGGGATTTCGACAGGAGCAGCTTCAAGCCACGGCTCCGCGCTCCCACAACCACCACGGGCATCCCGAAGGAGGGGAGAAAATCTTGGCACTCGAGGTGAAGAGGAGAGACCATCCCCTGCCAGGGCTCACAACCAGGGGGTTTGGAAACGTGCGTTCTGCCCCTGGCAGCAGGTGCTGAGCTCACTGCTCCTCTGGCCACGCGCGCAGCAGTCGGTGCTGCTCGTTAGTCACTGAGCATCGCCGGGTCCCGCGTGCCGCCGCCCCAGGTCAGACACCGCGGGGCCCCTTGTGACACCTCTTCACTTTTCCATGACTAATCTAATTTGACATTTAATTTAAAATTAATGTCCCTTTCCCCATGTAACACGTCACCTGTTGCTCATTGGTATAATAACACTTTCAATTATCCACAGGGGACGCGTGGTATTTTGTTTCAGTCACACAGCACGCGCTGGAAATGCAGGCAGTGCTGTGTTCAGGTCTCCCTTTAGAAAACCCTAATTTAAGAAGGAGTAAGGGCACAACATGGTGATATTAGTTTGGGGGTTTCCTGTATTTCATATGGTAGGTAAGGTTTAGTAACACTGCTGAAATTTTTTCTGCCATTAGAAACTATGGCCTGGCTACTCATGAGAGGTGCTTGGTGATGTCACCCTGCAGAAGCAGGAAGCCAACCTACGGGTGGGGAGCGAAGTAAACGCCGAAATTGTTGAATTTCTGTTGCATACCTAGTTTTAAACTACCAGAAAAAAATCCTGTAAATTGTGATTGAAGCACCCTGCAAGCATGCTCCATGTTCCATCACGAGTCACGGGGCAGACGAGCCGCTGTCACCTCAGAACAGGGGACAAGTGTCAGGGTGAGGACTCTGCCCCCTCCCTCTGGTCCCAAGGCCCAGATCTGGAGGCCTTTTCTCACACCCAGAGTACATTCTGGGAACCCAGAAACGTTAAGTTTCTCCTTAGATATTGAAATACAAGTTTGGATGTGAGAGCGGTGCACTTTGGTGGAGGTACCGGCTGCCCCCTCCCTGCTCAGAAGACCCTGTGGAGAAGAGGGGGTGCCGTGAGACCCCTCCAGGGGTACCCCTGGCTGTGGCTCTTTTCTGTAAGAACGGGTGAAACCATGACCTCCTTCTGACACTGCTGCACTCAAACGGTTCCTCTGCACTACACCATCGAGCAGCAGCTGTCAAGAACAGAAATGATTGTTGCAAATCACGTATTTATGACGATTAAGCAAGACACTGGACTGCGTTTGCAAAATGGCACAATATGACGATACCAATGGCTGATGTCTATACGGAGTGCCATAGCCGAAGATCCCGTAGCCGTCAGCCACTGAGTATAAACTAGTTATTACATGGGTGAATGAGGTAAGAAAGTCTTCTAAGCCATTCAGGACAGAAAGAGAAGGAAGCTTTTATCTATTAAAAAATGACACAAGAGCTTTAGATACCCGACATGTAGTTACCTGAATGGGAACGTGATCAGGAAACCTGGCTCACGAGACACAACTGTTTTCACTGATTCAAAATCAACCCATTCTTGCAAGCCAGTATGAGCCACCCGCTGCCAATGAAGTAACTGGGGAAGAGGACCTGGCCCTAATACAAGTAAGACCATTTCTCACGGATCTTGTATTTCCCCTTCAATCCATCCGAGCTGGATCCTCAAGCCGTGTAAGAGAGAGCCCAAGGAGCACAGCTCTGCTCAGAGCAGGCAAGCGGCCACGCACGCCCACACCACCAGACAGGGAAAGCACCAGTTGCCTCTTGCCAGAGCTGGTGGCCGGCTGAGCCAGGGCTCCGCAGCACCCTGCCCTCACCTCGCACGTCCCAGGGAGCTTGCGGTTACCTCCCTGCATTTTCCTTAAGTACATGATTAATGAGGAAAAGCTCCAGCAGGAGCTGGAAGCCAGCACTGCTACTTAACACCCAGGGTAGCATATTTTCCCCACGTACCAGAGCATTAACGCGTGCTTGGCAAGGGAAGCGACCCTGAGGAACGGCTTCTAGCAGGTCTGATTGCATTTGCTTACCATGGTGATCCTGGCACTGGAGTGGATGCCACGGGCTTGTTGCCGTTTGATGTGCTGTCATCCTCATTTACTAGTTTAAAAGAATGATCCTTGAAAGACAGATAGAGATTAGTCAACAAATAAAGCCGCTGCAGCAGACTGCTGTTGTTATACAAATCACCCCCTTTAACTTGAAGTGGCTCACCCTCGCTGCCATTATTCCACCAGCGGTTTTATGAACAACCAGCTGCCTTGGGAACAGCCCAGATAAACAGCAAATAATAAAAACGCTGCCCCACTTACAGCGGTACGAGTGAAAAACCAGCAGAGACGCTTTTGTCCATGCCCACAGCTCACTTGGCAGCAGCGGGAAGGGAAGGGCTCAGGGTGGCACGAAAATCCCCGCGTGCCAGCCCTGGTGTGTGAGCAAAGGGAAACGCTGGCACGAGCACAGCGGGAGCCATCGAGCCAGCCCGGGGAGCACATCCTGCCCCGCAGAGCTCAGCACCATCCCGCCAGCACCGGCTGCTGGCTCCCCAGCCCTTCCCAAAGCTGTCACAATACCGGTAAGAGCGATTCTCCCTGGCCTCGGCAGTGACCCCCGAAGATGGGGGGGACCCGGCTGTACCCCCATCCCCACCGAACCCCCTCTGTAGTGTTTTGCTGGCTGAAAACAGCTTTTGATTGTAGCAACGTATGGAAACGAACTGTGACGGGGAAGATGCGGGAGGAAGGCACTGACCTAGCTAAAACCTGATATCAAAACACAAGAACCACGTACTTAATTAAAAAATAATAAAGTGTGTGTCCAGAGGTCTTCATCTTGAAAGCATTTTACAACTTAAAGCCCTAAGGAACGTGCCCGAGTACCAAGGCAGCTGCAAACTTGGGAACACCTCCAGCGCCCGGCAGGTTCGCTTGCACAGAGCCTAACGGTGGCGCGACAGGAACGGCCCAAGGGAAAATCAAGTGAGCAGCAGCTGGGCCCGTGGGTCCTCCTCGCGCAGGACAGAGCTCCTGCTGCTCCCAGGAGCCTTCCAGCATCTCCCGTGCTGCTGGTTTCTTAGCCCGAGCTGCTCTTCCACACCCCACACCCAGGTAAAGGTTGAGCTTTAGCCATTTCCATGACGTCTGCATTTCATAGAAGCTGGGAGTACAGTTTAGGTCCTCTTCCTTTATATAATAATCTGGGCTCTTTTATAAAAAGCTCATGAAGTGGCGCACACATAGGATTTATTACCCATTGTAATGCACAGCCTATTTGCTATCTGTTTACACTTACCTGTCAGTTTTATTTAAGGACCGCGCAATTAGCTGTAAAGGAGGGCTACAGCAGGGCCCAGCAGAGATAAATTAGCAACACCAGAAAGGTGAAGGCCATGAAAAATTTCTTCTTTGCACCTGAGGCTGGTTGCTCTAAGCAGCACGAGGTCCAACGAGCTGCCCCCTGCTCTAAGCTGGGTCCCTGCCACCATAGCGAGACAATAAAAGAAAACCCCACAGATATTCTCTTTGTGCACTTCAACTTGTCCGTAGATGAATTTCATCCAGGGCTGTCACACCTCCACGTTTGCACTCTCACCCCTCCCTGCATCGACTCGTTTCTCCTCCAGCACGGGGAGAAAGCCAGCCACGAGCATCCCTCCTCTGATGCTGTGACACCACAGTGACAGAGCTCCTATAAAGCACCAAGATAAATTAAATAGATAGCTCTTGAAAATCGACTGTAGGGAACAATCCCGTATCACCGGCACGGCTCCAGCCAGAGGACAGTCCTTTATCCTGACTCTGATTTGTGCAGTTCAATGGTTTAAAGAGGTTTAGAAAAGAAGAAATGCCACTGCAGACCTTATCGCCGTCGCTCTCCACGGGGGCACTCTTCCTCTCCGCGTGTAAAATCAAGGTCGGTGGGCAGGAGGATCTACTCGATTCTTTGCCATTATCTGTGAGGGGAAAGGATTTCTTTTTAATGTGCAGTAAATACATTCCCAACAAGCCAAGACTGGTGAAGAAAAAACAATCTTCTCCCCGGGCATCCTCACCTCTTCTTCCTCCCCCAGTCCTTTATTTACCCCCACACGTGTGTGCCAAGGACCACGTCACCTTTCTAATACCACACTGGATTTTAACGGGACACATTTGTATACTTCAGAGTGAGGCTTTTATTGCACTGAGCTTTTTATCCCGTTATCCCTGAACCCAAAGCGTCTTTCCTGCCAGTCCCCTCTCCTCCCAGTCCGGAGATACTGGTGTGCTCTGGGTTAACCTCTGCAGGAAGCACCGATGAGTGTTTAATTGCATTTCCATGGAAGCAGTGGTAAGAACACGTACCTCTCCTTTACCAACAGCTATCTCCATCCCGAAACGTTAAACTATTCAGTGTTTCCACTGACTACAAAAGCTGTACATCTCGATAACAGAGAGGCCACAAGGGATGCAAGGAAAGGCAAAAATGGCAGCAGGTGCAAGAGACAGGCCTAATAATGAGTAAAAAGTCATTTTCACAGCAAGAAACATTTTAAAAGACATTTGTTATTATTATTATTATTTGGGGGGTTTTTTATTGCCTTGTCTTTCCATTACTCTTAAAACATGTACTTGGAGGTTTGAGCGAAGATATTCTCTAGCCACCTGGCCCACCCCACCCGCGGCAGGGAGGACAAGGTGTGTGCATATGTATGTATGTACGCAGACGTTTATATATTTATATATACAATAACCAGTCCCAGGAAAAACGTACGTAGCCCCCTCCAAACACCACCTGCTGTGCTCCTCCTGGAATGAAAGCCTACAAACACCAACCACGGCCCCATGCCGCAGCACCTGGACTCCTACCTTAAGGGCTGCAAAATCTCCGGCACAGTTACACAAGGAATGACGATGATGTTCCAAGTCGCTCATAACAAAGCTCCGTGAGCAGCATCGAACATGCTCGAGCGTTCCCCTGCGCACCTGCCCGCAGAGTTCCAGCACTGCTGAAGGAGTTTAACCTCAACACCCACAGCCTGGCACCCACCACGCACGGCTCCCCATAGAGCTTAAGTGCAACCACACGCCACAAATACAGGCTGGTACTACTAGTATTAAGTGTGCCAAAATGAGGGCAAGCCACGACATACCTTACCCCTTATCCATCTCAAGAGTTATGGAGCACTTTCTGCCCGCCAAACAGACTAAAACTTCGGTATAGTAGCTTCAAGGAACTGTTTGCAAGCACTGCTTTTCTAGGACTGCATATTTTGTAGCAGATTCACATGTCAAACTGCTGTTTAATTAATTTTAAACTTACTCAGACTACAGAGTAGGCACACGTGTAGCAGGAACTATGCCGAGGAAAAGGCTGGAGCTTCAGCTATTTGACTCTACTTCACCGTGGAATATATCACAATAATAAAATTTTAAATATATGTCATTTTTCTCAGAAGACAACTTACTCAATTTTTATGGGTAGTGAAAAAGGAGATTTACAAACCATATCAATTAATTTCCATATTAAAGGAGCTAGGAGTAGGGAGCAGCTAATACATATCAAAAGGGTCTCTCAATTCATCTTTCCTCACGAGCCATCGGGAGTCAGAGCACTGCCGGGCACGTTGGGCTTTGATGACAGCAGTGTGGTACCTGGGTTCAGGCTGCCTGCGAGCACCCATCTTCCCCCGCTGGGCTGCTGGACGGGCGAAGGAATCCCAGCGGAGCGCTCAGAAGGGCAGGGACAGCAGAGGGACAAGGCAGGACCCGGCAGGGACTGTCCCCTCCAGCAGCGGAGCCACACGCAAGCGCCTGGAGGGGCCGGAGGCAGTGAGATCAGCCCCGACAAGGCTCCGTGTGAGGGAAGCAACCACGGCCCAAGGGCACGCAGGATGTTTCTCACACTCACCACCCTGGGAGGTCCAGCGGCACAATTAAAATCCCAGAATCACCCAGGTTGGAAAAGCCCCTGCAGCTCCTCCAGCCCAACCATGAGCCTCCCCCTGACCCTTCCCAACTCCCCCAGACCCCTCAGCGCTGGCTCAGCCCGACTCTTCAACCCCTCCAGGGATCCCGGGGACTCCCCCCTGCCCTGGGCAGCCCATTCCAACGCCCAACAGCCCCTTCTGCACAGAAATCCTTCCTCAGAGCCAGCCTGACCCTGCCCTGGGCAGCTTGAGGCCATTCCCTCGGGGCCTGGCGCTGGGGCCTTGGCTCCAGAGACTCATCCCCCCTCTCTGCCCCCTCCTGGCAGGGAGTTGCCGAGGGCCAGGAGGTCTCCCCTCAGCCTCCTCTGCTCCAGACTGAACCCCCCAGTTCCCCCAGCCGCTCCCCAGCAGACCTGTGCTCCAGACCCTGCCCCAGCTCCGTTGCCCTTCTCTGGCCACGCTCGAGTCACTCAATGGCCTTTTTGGGGTGAGGGGCCCAGAACTGAACCCAGGAATCGAGGGGCGGCCTCCCCAGTGCCGAGCCCAGGGCTCAGATCCCTTCCCTGGCCCTGCTGGCCTTTAACTGAGGATGCCTCAATTAGGGCACCTCAATTAAATTCTGCTAATCCATTCTCCATCTCAAAAACATGGCAAAAGGGAGACAACGTTCAGTTTCTCGGCTGTTCCACAGAGGTATTTCATTATCTTGTCGTGCATTTTCCCATCACTCCGACTCTCCCACTGCTTTTCCCACAGGATATCCTTGGTGGCTTGTCCCCCACCCCCAGGACGTGCCATGAGCCAGCCCTGGGGCACTGCCCTGCACAGCCTGCCTCCTTCCCAACCAGGATTTTAAACCCAAATATGAGCACATCTTCCAGAAACGTGTTTGTAGAGGCTGAAAGGAACCTTGAGACATTCCCCTCTGCAGCAAAAGGTCCTTTGAAGTCACTAATTTTGCAGCAGTTAAAGGCAGCGGGAAGAGCCCCGGTTTGGGGCGGGTTTTGCGGGGGCACGTCCAGCGCTGGCCCCGTTCTGTGGAGGCAGAGCTGGTGCTGGGCTCAGGGCACACGCTGGGAGCCCTCAAGGACAACGCTGCTGAGCGGCACCGTGCATCTCAGCACCTCCAGCTCTCAACTCCTCGGCTCTTGCCATGAACCAACTCCGGCAGCAACACCTCTGGAAGGCCCGTGAGCGGCTGCTGAAACGGCCACAGACAAACTGCTGTTGGGGTCGTGTCACTCGCACACGGAGCGGCTGGACACAGAGCTGCACCCTTGGGAGGCGATGCTGAACGGACCTGGGATTTATTTCCTTTTAATAGGGAAATCACATCTACCCCTCTTCCAGCTCTGCTTCTTTCTCTTTTTAACTATTTCTCTGATCGTAGAAAAAAACCACAACTTTTTATTATTAGAATTTTGATTCTTTCAGAGTCTTCATTCTCATGTTGAAGAAGGAGCCAAGTTCTTTCACTCCTGTATGTACATACGCACACATGCATGAGGAACAAGAAATCATTTACCCAGCCGATGTCAACTTTTAGCTAATCATTACAAGCATTCATATAAATACATAAATGGCAACTGGTAGATTTAACCAGACTGTTCCACAAGTGAAATGAGGCTGAAGAAGTGAAATAGAAGAGTGAGCCTAAACGCCACACGCGCAGCTCCAGGAGCTGGGGTTTGATGCCAAGGAAGGCAGGACATAATGGTGTAGCTGCTTTTGGCTCGGCTGCTCTTACCCTGCTCTTTAATTACTGAAGATTGGTTTGAAATACGGAGCACGGACGGACCGGTGCGGGGAGGCTCTCGCGCACGGGCGGCCACTCTCACTCCGGTTTGAGCCGCACACATCTTCAAGTGGAGACACTGCGCTCTCAACGCCTGAGGCAAGCTCTCTTTTTTCTCCTCCTTTGAAAAGCTCCCTCAAAGTATCCGAACAGGAAAGCTGAAGCCCCAGTGAGGGACTTGAGAGCTGTAGCTGTTGCTTGGAACACATCATCACCGGTGCAGCACATGCCCGTGAACTTCTGCAGCACGCGGTTCGTTTGGCTTTCACATGGGAAATGCACGGGCGCAACACTTTGGACAGTCAGCACATACAGAGTAAGATGGAAATTAAAAAATTAAAATAAAAGAGCAAAAGAAAGTCCTGAAAGTCACTGTGTGTGTCAGGAGTCACTTGCTTTCATATCTAGTCAAACGCTGCGACCGTTTTCCCCAGGTATAATGCCAAGAGAGAGATAACTGAAGCGTTTCCCAGCTGGAGCTCAGGAGCCAGCGGCTGACGTGGGGCCGGGGACGCTCCTGGGCTCACGCTCCCCAGGCTGGGGGCTGCCCAGCTCCCGAAAAGCAAGGGGCTGCAGGGGCAGGGGGAGGAGGGGTCCACCAGACCTCTGCTGGCCCTTCCAAAACCATTAGAGATTTCCTCTCCCCCAAGACAGCCAGCAAGGCACTGCTTTACCCTCCATCGGCATCTGGCACACATCTTTGCTCAGGTTTACTCTTTTCTCATTAATTAACCTTCCCCCCCCTCCCCCCCCTCTCAACTTAAGTGCATAAAATAAACCGCAGCCTGACAATTAAGCTACTGCAACATATTTCCAACACGGTCACGCACCTTTTTTTGCCCCTAAACTTAGCAGCATCATTACCAACGACGCGTTCCCACACTTGCTGTAATGCTGCCGAAGGACGCGCGGCAGACAGGAGGATGAAGATATCTGATTAAAGATACTTCTCTGAGGCTCCGCGGCAGGTAGAGAGACATGAATAATTCACAGTATGAAAAGTAAAGGTGAAGTAGCAAAACTATCTTGGGGATATCACAGAGGATGTAGGTGTATGATCATAAACATCTTATTAAAAGCAGAATCAGAGAGGGAGAGGAAGAGCGAAGATTGATTCATGCCACAGGAAGCTATGAACAAGAGATAATAAAAATTTGTTTTGCAAAGGTATTTAGAGGCCAAACCTCTGTTAATTGCAGAAGTTGTTTAAAATTTTGATTCTAAGTGTTTCCCAGAACTGGATTTACTTCAAGTGCACACATCTAAACACTCAGGTTTTTATTATCCCGCCCAGTATCTCTGCAGGTCAGTTCTGCCTCTGCCCACAACCTTATTGCTTTTGGGGTTTGAGATCAGTCTAAGCACCGTGTCTGACTGATTCACAGTTCCTCCTCTGTCGGTTTTTGCTGGAGCCAAGTGTGGGATTTCAGTGCTGGCTATGTCAGCCAGGCCCACGCCCCACTCCCGCCGGCGGGGATCCCACCTCCAGCCCATCATCCCCACCTCCAGCCCAGCACCGCTGCTCCAGGGAAGCAGCTCCTGCTCCTGCCCGCATGCTGTATTTCACCCTGTAATGAGTGTCTGCATCCTGCTTTGACCAGTTCCGCTGTGCCCTGCCAAACGCTCTGTCTCCCCTCTTAGAACAAGTCTCCTTGAGCAGCGTTTTTTTCCTTCTGCAGCGATCTCTTCCCACTCACCCCTTTATTTTTCTGGAGATTTGTAATGGGATCAGTCAAATAACAAGGATGAATTCTCGGTCTGCTGTACCATACCATGGCTGTACGCCTGGTGCAGAGTTCAAGGACAAACTCATTTCATTGCTGGACTTCTCAGGCACAGCCCCCACTGCCCCACAGATGCTGTTCGCCCCTACCCTGAAAACAGTTCCTTTGTAAAAGAATGAAAAGCTGAAAAAACCCTACCGGCATATTCCCTCAGTGCAGGAGGCACCACCCAAACCAGCTCTGTGCATCCCCTTCCCACAGAGCTGCAGAGGCAGGAGCATCCCTACGGAGCAGCATCAGCTCCCAATCCCACTGGGCACAGCACGGGGCCCCTGTTCACGCGCCTCCTCCCACCCTGAGCATCAGGCAGCTGCATGCTCTTCAGCAGGATATTTCTAGCCAGTTTTGCATTTTCCCCTCGTTTCAGCCACTGGACCATTTCTCAGCATCACTCTCCAGCTGTTTCTGCACCTCTGCAAGCTGGCCTGGGCTAAGCCAAGCTCTGAGTCAATGACCTTCACCGATTCTTGACAACCTTCCTTCCTCTGCTCTTTACATGTGATTCTCCTTAAATATCAAGGCATTTAATGGTCTGAGCTTCGCATATCTATTAAATGATGCAGAGCTGTGTGAGAGTGGTGGTTAACAGCTCCACCTCTCTTGTACCTACTGCAAGGCAAAAGAAGTCAGATTTGCACTTGAGACGGGACTTTTCCAGCTTCCAATACAAAATAAAGGCTTACTAGAAGCCAGGACCATTGCAAAATTTGCTCCTTCTGCTCCAGAAAATGTTATTAATTTTGTCTTCAGAGAAAGATGGATTTTGTGATGCCATGAGCAAAATCAACTGTGCAAGCCTCGCTAGGCACTCATTTTCTCTTTAGGAGCCAAGTCAAAGAAATGGTTATCTATACTGCAAACCAAAAGCGTGCCCGCAACCACAGGAACTCTGTGTGCTGGCTTAAGACACTGGTGTATGTACCGGCAGCAAACCACGGTGGTACACGTGTGTTAAGGTGCTCCACACCCCAGATGTAAGATGCGTGGCTTGACGTGTTGGCATTCCAGTTGTCCGCCCTAGTCCTCTCTTTCAAACAACGACCCTGTGTTTCAGTGCTCCCGGACTGGAGACACTCATTGAGTAAATTTTTCATGGTGCAAAACTCTTAAAGCCAAAATAAAACATTGCAACAAACTCGGAGGATGGTATCTTCTGAAGCCATCTCCCCACCGCAGCTCTCCACCTGGCGACTCGGAGCTCGCCGGTGGATTGATTTTGCCACCCAGGCACTCGAAGGTCTCAGCTCTGCAGCGGCCAGGAGGGAGCTGCTCAGCCCCGGCCCCCCGCCACCCGCTGACTCGGGGACGGGTCACCCACAGGACCCTCTCAGGTTCCCAGCATCTCCCAACAGCTTCCCGGAGGACACGCTCGCTCTTCTGTGGCACGTGGAGGCTGATGTGTGAAAACGCCTTTGGTACCATCATCTGCTCTTAATTCTGATTCCTACTTTGTTTTTCCACTGGAGATAACGACAGTTTGTAGCAACCTATAGGAAAGAGTGTGATCTCCTCAGAAACACTAAAGAAAAATCCACACTGTATTTAAGTGAAATTACCATTTTTCTCTTAAATGCAATTGGCAGCAAATCAAAGACAACAAAAGGAGGAAGAAGTATTTTCAAGAGAATGCTGGAAACAAAAATATAATGTTCATCTTAATTACATTACCCATATGCAGACAAAAATGTAACAGATGCTCTTCCAAAGCGATGGCCTCCCAACAGCATAGCCACCTGATTTAGGCCACCTATTGACCAAATGCCAGGCTGGCCTGGCCATCAAAAGTCAACAAAAGACTCAATACAGTTAAATCCTTATTCAGCGCGATGGATAAAATCAGGAGTGTTTGTTTTCAAGTCTGGCAATAAGAAGATTATGGAAGTTATTTGATATGAAATATAAAAGAAACCACAATTTCAGCCTTCAACAAGCTGCAGATCAGCAGGTCCCCTGCACAAATCCTCGTCTTTCTGTCCCCGTGTTCTTTGAAGAGCTTCACTGTTTCTTCCATCTCACTTGCTTCTGACAAGGAAGCAAGTCAATACAATTCTTGGTGACTTTGAGGAGTACGCAGGTCTTCAAGCACAATAACTGTGCAGATGATAAAAGTAGGCGCTTACCAAAAGCAAACCAAACCAGACAAGAAACTTTAAAGTGAAGGATGTCAAAAGAGACGTGCATGAACTTCCCTTCAGTTTTAAGGTGTCTGTGTCATAAAATTTTCAGCAATTTCCAGACAGAGCTGGAATACTCAGTGACATAATTCAATCGGAGGATCTTATTCAAGACAGGTACGGCAGCAGGCAGACCTGCTTCGGAGGGAGCCTCCAGCTCCACTTACAGATTTGCCTAGCACAGCTGACCACAAAAGTATTTTACGAAACTTTTATCTCAGCTATGGGTAGAGCCAGCGAGCCTGAGGTACCCACGAAGGAAATGGCTTAGCTGAACAAGGGAGAGCTTCTATACCAGAAATCTCTACATGAACAAAGTACAAATACATTCATCTCTAACTCTGCAACACCTCCACAACTGTGCTAATCCCTAGGCGTGAAGGATCAGATAAATGATGCCTGAAGGGATACCTAGTAATTCCTGATAAAGGCTGGGTTTTTCCATGGAAGATGGCTGGGAAGGTGCACGCAGGACCCAGCTCTGCCCGAGGAACAGCCCATCCAGCCCCACGGCAGCGTCGCGGTTCCATTAACAGCGTTCCTGACCTCCCAGCCACGGTACCGTGAGAGGGATGTCTCGTCGTTAGGAAAGACGTTCCCAACTCCCCTTCAAAATCCGATCGCTCTTTGACTGAGATTTGCCACACGTATGTGTGAATCTGAACAAAGCCACCAGACTCCCTCCAGCCTTTGGGAACAGCACTGCCCCTTCTCTCATGACAGCACACGCACACATTTACATGACAGTGAATAAACCAGTTTTATCACACAGCACAGCATAAAGCGTCCTCGGAGGCTTCAGCCAACGAGGCTTCACGGAGCAACTATCCAAAAGATAACCACATCATCACTGCAACGCTCCTGAATACCACTGGCATGGGAAATAAAAAGCCCAAGGACGTTTCAGAAATTTGCCTTTTGTATCATTAAACGCAAAGCTACTGCCAACTGCCAGAACGAGTAAACAGGGTCTGAAACACTGCGAATACGCTCGGAATTAGCTAAAGCAAATGTCACGAAATTTGAGCCAATTTCTTAAGGGTCCCCCATTTCTATGCAGCATGGAAAGCGTGGTTTGGTTGGAAGTGCACAAACATACAACATATGCTTCAGTAATATAATCCATATAGAAACATAAGCACACCTGTTAATGTCTGATCCATCAAATTGGTTGCCATGAAGGTCACGGCCGGTGCAGACACAGCAGTTACCCGGGTGACTTGCGTCGGCATCAAAGGACCCACATGAGCATCCATCCTGGAGGCAGAACCTGCATTCAAACCAGAAGAAAACCTTTTTTTCTTTTTTTCCCAGTAAACAAATACGCCTTTTAAAAAAAATTGCTTTTTTTTCCCCAGCTGTATTTCACAAAACGCTCTTTTAACTTCCTGCTAAACATTCTTCCTCTACCCACTTGCACAGTTAAAACAATCGGGTTTGGGTTTAATTGAATTACTGGTCTAGTCTGGCCACGACGGCCACTGGCTCTCAGCAAACAAGCATCGGTGGAAATTTTAAATTGGTAAAAAAGCAGCCCTCAAAATAAGAATTTGCAAGGATACATTAATGCTTTCAGAACAGATTACAGCAAGATCAGTTCTCTCATGTAAGACTAAATAACACACCTCCAGTTTCTACTGTTAGCCATCGCAGAGTCTTTGTGTCCCACTCTATCCACGGGAAATTATTTTGCCGATAACGTAAACCAGCAGCTTTATCCAAGGGAATCAGAGTCAGCTCAGAGAATTCACAAAACAGAAAATCACTAAATTGCTCATATACGTGATTCGTGATAAAGTAGCAGTCCAGTTCTGCTGCTAAAACGACGCTAATTAAACCAGGCTACTTAATCCTTGAGGATTCGTGGCTATTGCTGCATTTGAGGTCAAACCTTCTGCGCGTGAAAACTTTTTTTGGAAGCTGAAAGACCCTGACCACGGCGTCTCATTTCAGACACAAACTCATCGGCAATCTCCGCAGCCTGTTTAGAAGCCACCACCCCAAACCTGGACTGGCAGTAGGGCCTATCCCTGGTTTCATGCAGACCCTGGGCATAGCATCGTATTTCCCAAGCGCGACCCACGCCGCAGAATTTACTGCCCTTCTGCTTCGCTAACTCCGCGTGTGCTATCAAACACTCCTCATCCCAACTTCTCTGCATTTTGCGGTAATAGGGATAAATTCTAAAACCTTCGTGCTGTTATTAAAAATAAAAAAGTCTTTTGCACTCTCTAAACCTCTGCTTGATTTTTGTTTCTCTGATTTCACATGCCAAAGATTACAAAACGTACCTCCCACCAACGTGGGGACACCGGTTGCTTTTTTTCCGATGCAATTATAACATTTTTCTCACTAAAAAAGCCACTTTTCCTTCCTCAAAACTAGTCCTGGGTATCACCTGGGCTGGCGATGACAGGAGAGGGTGTTTCCTGATTGCTGTGGTGGGACCAGCACAGCCAGGCAGCGGTGCCCTCCCGTCTGCAGGCAGAGCTGTGCCCCCACTCGGAAAGGCACCCTGCACAAAAAGGGGGTGCTCAGCAACGATAACAGTGGTGGTGCTAGTTATGCTAATGAAGCGTGCATTTGGTGTTAGGCAGACAAAGATTCTACTGAATATAATCTGAATTACCTGTACGAGCACAATAAAATGCACACCGTGAAATTTACAGTGATTTTTCTTCTCTCCTCCACCCCCTTGACTCCCACCCCAATGACCAGGCAACAACAGCAGAAGCCAGAAACTCTCCAAGGCAAATCTGAGTATTTTGCAGTAGATTTTTCCAATGAAGAAAAAAAAGTAGAAACTGGGACTACAGAAAACCTGAAGACTGCCCGGCAGCATGTCCCGTTTCTGACTTCACCTTCGATCCCGAAGCCCTGAGGTTCCTGCACCGCCCCAAGGGCCCCGGTGAAACCCGGGGATCACGGTGCTGTTTGGGAGGGTCTCCTGCTGGGCCAAGCAAGGTTCAACATCTGCTTTTGCCCAACGGGAGGCAAAAATTCCACAATTACTACTGCAACGGGGAAAGTCCATGTCTTCTACCTGGACCTGGTGACATTGTCCACAGAAACACAAGTCCAGCAACTGTGGGGTTATGTCCCTTCCCAGTCAGAGTCTTTTCAAAACTGCCATTTTAACGCACTTTCTCACATCATCAGGGACGTGTTCCTGAAGCAGACTGGAATTCAGGCTATCACCAGACTTTGTGAGATTCACCCTTATAACAAGGAGAATTTAAAACAATCGATTTTTAAAGGAATATTTTATAACAGAAATGGATCTAAAATAATAAATCTTATGAAAGAAATAACATTTTCTAAAATTAGAAAGTCATATTCCTACAGAGGATTAACCTGGCTAGAGAACCACCCAGGGAAAAGTAAAGCTTGGCCAAAAAAAAACAATTGTTGGAAAAAGTAGGAGGTTGATAAAGCCTTAGGAGCCGGGGCCAGAACACCAAGTCAATCAATGTTCAATAATGCATTTGCCTGATACAACTTGGTATTAGCCAGGGTATCTTACAGATGTTACCTGGTAAAGAATGATTTATTAATTTTATATGCAAATAAAACACCTCGGAAAACCACGATCCCCATCCAGCAAGAAAAAAAAAGAAATGGGTTTCCAAACGTGCTGCATGGAGCAACTGGGAGGACAACTGCAATTTTTCCCTATGAACAAGTGGAAAAGGATTATTAGTCCCAATCAGGTGAGGGGGGGATCCCCCCATTAACCTCTCCCCTTCACCCTCTCCCCCCAGAGGCCCTCCAAGCCCTCGCAGCTCAGAGCAAAGCCCAGCCCCGGCATCGCCTCTCTTCAGGAGCTGGCAGCGTTACGCAGAGCAGCCCTGAACCTCGGGCTGCACGGCTGCGGGATCAGGCCCAGGGACAACCGGAAAGCCACCTTAGATGAGTATTTTGCAAACAAACCCCATTTGCGCCGTACACCCAGGAGCATTTTTATATACTCATCCACACCGGCCCCGCAGTTATTCCACAACAGTACATCACATCCCTATGGTTTTATTTTGTGAAAAATCACAAGAACGTAAGAAGCATGTTTAGTATTTTTATGGGCTTGCTCCCACCCTTCAGCCCTCACCTGCGCCTGGTACATCCCTCCTAGGCCCAAGGTTAACTGGCAAACCACCATTGTGCCAGCCAGCTAGTGGAAGGGGCAGAAAAGAGGGAACAAGAGGACAATGCCAACACTATTTTACCCTTCCAGGCCCAGGGGAGGTTCCTACAGGGCAGACGACGGAGAAGACCACACGTCTCAAGGCACATGTGAAAATATACAAACAAAACATGGATTTTCTTAAGCCGTATGTGTACGTGTGAGATGCCCCGTCTGCCCCGGTGAGGGAGAGCCCTCCAGGGACCTAGAACAAAGCGAAATGGGTACCAAGAGATACTCCTAGATCGTTAATGTCAACCGAGAGGGGAGACAGCAACAGCGAGACCTCTGTGAGCCATGAACTGTCCCAACGAAGCAGCCCCGTGCTGTTCTCTCCTGGTGGCCTCCTCCCCGGATGGCAGAGCACTGCTGCCAGGGACCCCTCCTGGGGGGCACGGGGAAAAGGAATTGCAAATAGTTGCAGGAAAACCACCAGAAAAATGAAACGTTTCATTATTTCTCTCTTGGTTTGTTTTTTGTTGGGTTTGTGTGTGTGTGTGTGTGTGTGTGTGTGTGTGTGTTTTCTTTTATTGCTATTAAGTCAGAATAAAAGAAATTCCTGCAAGACACGATCAGCAGCACGATAAAGAAATTACCCTGTGAGGTACTATGATAAATGTAATTCATACTGGCTTTGAAGAAAGAATGATAAATAAAGCATTTATACAAGAGGAACAGGTCAGTGCGATGTTTGTTGTGCTACTTACAGCACAATAATATAACTGGAGACACTTGTAACTTGGCCATCTCTAACAAGACACTGAACCATTTTCCAGCTCTTGACGATGTTCGGACCTCAGGCAATGACAGTTTCTTTTTTCTGCTTCTGTCAAAGCCCCTGGCAAAACTATTAACTTTGATGAGCTCTCTGGATATGAAGAAGCGCTGAAGAACCATCAATTCCAACACTGAAGTCTAAGGTGCCTCCGATTACAGGGAGCAATCCATGAAACTGCAGAGTCACTATAGCCCCTCCAGTTTTACGGAGATGCCCAACAGGACACACATGTGAACGGACTGAAATTCTGGTTTCCCTATCCTTGGAGACCATTCTTAAGCTGCTAACTTAGATGTGCATTACTACACAACTAATTCCATGAATAATATTTTATAGAACAAGAGTTGTTTGATTTTGGCTTTTCTCATTAATGACAACAAAAGGGACACTTCCACGCTATCGCTTCCAGAGTCAGAGACAGATGAAAATCTCTTTGAGAAATGCTGAGTTGATCCAAATTGGGCAGCCGAGCACCACAGCTCACACCCCTGCCACTTATCGAGGGCTGCGGAACCGTGCAGGGGACAAAAACAAAAAACAAAAAAAAAAAATATCACAGCTGGCCCCAAAAAGGCCCATCCCATGCTGGCCTCCCACAGCCGCGGGAGCCTCCCACACCAGGATGTCGGCCGCGCCACGTGCGGCCCCTACCTGGGCTACCTGTGCGGCCTGGGCAGGGCTCACACCCAAACGCTGAGGCTGAGAGGGACGCCAAGTAGATGTGAGCTCACCTTAAGGTGTGCCATGAATTTCAGTGCTTTCAGAGTCATTTTGGTAACGTGCTTAATTATCTCCCTGTCGTCAGACACGTAGCACTTGAGCTCTGCTCGTTTCGCTACCCCGGTCTATGCTGCATGGAGAAACCTGACTTCCCAGGATATAATTTCATCTGCTTCTTTATGTTGATTTACTTTCACATGCAGGAACAATAAAATTATCAGTGCATCTTTTGATGTGATGGAAGCAATTAGCTCACAGCTCCCGTCCCTACCGCAGTCAAGCATACACGTATAGACACACATATATATTATTTCATACATGCAGATTGAGTTCAACTGCTCAGTTTAATTATATCTGACGCTCACCAAATACATTTGAATGATTTAAGGTGATCTTAACCTTTAAGGAATAAATATTTATGCTTTCTAGTTCCTTGTGCTCGTAAAAAGCAGTCTTTGCAATAGGGAGATTTGGAATATAAATAAACTCTGTGGCCCGAGTTTAATGTCACGATGCAATATAAGCTTTCAGTCTGAACTGAACATAACCTGGGCTGGAATCATACCTCAGCGTGAAACCTAGCACCCGCCCACAC